TGGTTGTAAGAGGTTGTAAAAATAAGGTTGTAAGTATAACCTTTCTCTATATTAAATATAAGATATATTATTGTTAAGTCATGAAATTTATTTATATTTTCAAATATATTACGTATTTAAATTCATCAGTTAAATAAATTGAATTTAAAGTTGATAAAAATATTCAATGAAGTAACGGAAATTATATATATGTATGTATCTATTGCTTTAAAGAAAAGTGCTTGTATTTATTTACCAAAAAAAAAATGGTTGTATTTGCTTCCTTAACAATTGTGAAAGTATATTTTTTTAATAAAGGAAGGTTCCTCCAATTAAATTCAACTAATCATAAGACTTTATGTCACCTTTTCATTTACTTTCATGAAAATAGATAGAGCTATCAATTCAATGTCTTCCTTTGTGCATTTTTTAACAAATTATTCTATTGTGATTTTTTTCATTGGCCGACACTAAAGGTTTCCCTTCTTGTTCTTGAGAAAATTTTCAAGACTTTGTCAACAATTTAAAAAGAGGTTGCACACACACAACAAAAAAAACAAAAAAAAGAGGTTGCACATATTAATTATATAATTTAATAATATATTCACATATAAGTTTAATAGAAAAAAGTATGGTTATTTGAATTTATATAGGCGAGAGCTCAATAATAACTTGCATATTATTTTTAGGATTTTTTTAAATTGAAGGTAACACTATTAATTATGTCAAACTTGATGATTTTTTTTTTGTAATACTTCAAGCACCTCAAAATTATTCTCTCTCAAACACATAACCTCTAACAACAAACCTATATAAATTAAACACTTCTATAACTAATCAAGATGATAGTGTCAATTTTCAAGGCGTCCAAAGTTATGTTTTCCTTTTTTTATTTTTTCCAAAGCTTTAAAACAAACTTTTGTGATTTATTCTGTTGGCTTTATCGAATAGAAAACAAGGTCATCATTTCATTACTATGGTGAAGTTTTCATTAAATATATATAAAGTCTTTCGAGCTATCTTCATCTTTGACATCTTCTGTCAATTTTTTCGAAAATGTAAAGAGAGTAAAAACAAGTTGAATCATTCAAGAATTGATTCCCCCCGCCCCCCTTTTACAAACATGCTATTATTCTATCGTTCTATCCTTTTCTTTGCGCTCTGTGGCACTCTCTTTTTTAAGCTATTTAGGTGCAGTAATTTAATTTAATAAAACAAGCAACACTCTAATTAAAAGGTCGTTGTACAAACGACATTTAAACTAATATATACACAAAAATATGAAAATGATTAAAGGATAGGGGATGCGAATAATTGTGAAATATCGGAACTGATTCGTTTCAAACAAGTAATTAAGATCAATATATCAAAAATAAAAATACACGTCGTTTTTTCTCACCACTGTATATTAGTTGAATTAGTTGGCAATTCAATTGTTAAACTGCTTATATCATGTAATCATGTATGAATATGGACGAGGGAAAGTGACGAGTCATCCTATATCAATGCCATAAAATAAGTATTTGCAAACTCAAAGTTTTAGCTTTTTATCCAAACAAAAAATATGTACAATAAACAACTTGACGTGTTTTACTTTTGACTAATGTTGTTATAATTGCTAGAAATTGATATTTAACTGGAACAACGAGTTATTATTTGAAGATGAAAAGTTGGATAACTATACAAGAATTTTAAATTTTCTTCAAATTAGGAGAAGTTCCAATAATTAAATTAAAAATTAATTCAACCATTAATTTGAACTGAGCACAATGCACTTTTGAATAATTTAAACTCATGCAGTCTAAGTAGAATTCACCCACATTCACCAAATATTCTAAATATTTAGGAAAAAAAGTATAAAGAACATCATTTTCTTTATGGCTATGAATGTTCAAAAGAAGCATACATAATTCATAACATGCAAATATAGTGTACAAAAACTTTTCGTAATACTTTTTTTTTAAAGAAAATTACTATTCATATATTTAAAAAACAATACTTACCCGGGCACTTTTTATTTATTAATATCGTATTTTTTAAGTTTGTCAAATTATTTTTAAGCTCTCAATCATAAAAAGATTATGGCTTGATATATCTCGTAATATCGTAATTATTATTCAAAATAATTTAGACGATTTTTTAGAAAAATATTTTTTTTATATTTCATGATTTATTTCTTCATTTAATAAAAATTTATAATTTATTATAAATATAAATATAAATTATTTCTTTATAACTTATATTATAGGGAAAAATGTTTCTGCAGTTACTGCGGATAAGTTATCTGCATTTTTTCCAAAACGACGTAGTTTTGGTATTGAAATATTAAAAAATTATAAATATAAAGACTATTATAACCCTAAAATAAATTAAAATTACAAAAATACCATGATTTTCACCCCAAAACGACGTCGTATTGGGCTTACTGCATATCACTTATCTGCAGTAACTGCAGAAAAAACGAACCCTATATTATATCATGATATAATAAATTAATACGATTTTCATATTATTATTTTCTTCCATCTTTACTTAAATTTCTATAATTTCAACTGATAATATCAAATTAAAAAATATGGCAAAGCTTATCATATAATTTTCATAATAAACTTTAGGTGCATGGGTGTATTTGAAATCTCATACATGTTATTTTAAGTTTAAAGTTTCTAAATTTGATTGAGAAAATATTAATATTAAAAATAATTTCATTTAGTCCCTAAGATTAAAATATTTGATATCTCTCCTAAAATATAATAATTTAATTTTGATTAACCTTATAAAATCCTGTTTAAAGTTGTACTAAAAATACAATAAATAATTTTTATCTTATATATATATATATATATATATATATATATATATATATATATATGAAAGGAGAGGTTATAGTTACTACCTGTTATTACGAAATTTTAACCGTTGATTTTCGTTAATCTAACGGTTGTAATTTATTGGGTCATACTTATTAATTAATTATTAATTTAATAAATTATAACCGTTAAATTGACAAAAATCAACTCTTAAAATTTAATAATAAGAAAAAAATAATAACTATAACCTCTATAAAAACATAATAAAATGTTGGCGAACTCGTACCAACACATATAATATTTGGAGTAGAAGATGAACTATTTTGCAATTCTAAGAATAAAAACAAAAATCAATTATAAATCTTTATATTTAAGTGCAATAAAATTTATCAATTAAGTTATGTGACACCATTTTCATATATATATATATATATAGGGCTTATCATTTCTCAAGCTGCTTGAGACAATGTTATCTCCGGTTACTAAATCATAACCGTACAAAAATAGATCAATGGTGATAAAGGAAGAGAGAGAAAACATGAATCATAACCATTCAAAGATGAATAAATTAATATAACGAAATAAATAAATAAAATGAAGTAGTTTTGAGGTGGTCGGAGATAACATTGTCTCAAACAACTTAAGAAATGTTTTTCCCATATATATATATATATATATATATATATATATATATATATATATATATATAAGGAATGATCCGTTTATAATTTTTAGCAAATTATACTATGTACTTTCGGAAGTACATAATTTAACTTGTAATATTTTTGAAAGTAAATAGTATAATTTGTATAAAAAATTTATAAATATAACCCTTTTATATATATATATATATATATATATATATATATATATATATATATATATATATATGGATAATGTTTTCCTCCTTTCACATGATACAATCAATTTTTCTACATACACATAAAATTAGGTCCATTAATTCTTTTATTTTTCTTTTATTTTAAAAATAGTGTCCCCCACAATTAATTATCTCTATGACATGACCTAAAATTTTTCTACAACATAATACTTGTTTTTCCCAGTATATATAATATTTGATAGTTGCATAAAAGGGGTGTTAACGGGCCGAGCCGAGCCGAGTTTTGGTCTTAAAAGACTAAGCTTGTATTTAAATGTGTCAGCCTGACCAAGCCTGTTACCTGTTGTAATATAATTATCGGCCTTTGGCCTGACTTATTTATAAAAAATAAAAGCCTGATTTAGACTGTTTAAAAAAAAATTACAAAATTTTATTCAAACATAATATACAATCGACAACACTAGTAATTTCATAAATACTCATAAATTCAATGTATATCCAAACAACATAATATAGAACAAAATCATTTCAAAAAGTCTGTTTAACCAATAAAATAGGATGAAATAGATTGAGGAGAAAGAGATGACTATTACAAGTAGTATAAAAAATAATATACTAGGCCAGCCTGAGAGGCTCTAAGACCGAGCTTTTGAATTGGAGACTGATGCCTAACTTTTATACAAGTTCAAGCCTGCTGCCAACAATTAATTTTTGACATGTAAGTTCAGACCTCCACGAGCCGATCCAAAGACGTTGAAAAGTCCCTGTTTTGTTTAGCAGCACTCAGTTATACCATCGTTTAGCTATTCTCGAAGCAAAATGAATAAAATGGATGGCAAAAAATAAATTGTTTAAAAATGACATATTAAAAAATGGATTTAATCAGCCATAATCCACAATGTCACTCCGTTAAAGCAGGGGCATTAGAAAATCTCGGGATTGATTTTGTTTTGTTGCCATTAAATTTTCTCACGCTCCAAAATCCAAACGCTTGTCAGTGACATCAGCACACCACCGATTGTTTCGGGAGCGAAGAAGATAACCGAGGGAAAGAAGCATGACAACAACTGAAAAGTCTGAAAGAAAGAAAACAACCAAACAGAGAAAGGAAAATAAATTAAAATTAAAATTAAAATAATTAAAAATAAAATTTGACAACGCGGTTTCAGCTCCTCTCCCCTCTCCACTAATATTTGGTTATTCTTCTCACTTCACTTCTCACTGCACATTTATTTTCTCTCTCTCTCTCTCTCTCTCTCTCTCTAACGCCGGAGCTTTCTCTCTCTAACCAAACCCTAGACCTTCAGTTCTGCACTGATCAGATCTACAACTACAACCATTCAAGCTATGCGTTACTAGTTTCGTTCTAAATGTCTGGTTCCGATGCCAAAACCCACCAACGTCCGGGACCATGGCCGCCGGCGTCCTCACCGGACACCAAGGCAATGCCGCCTTCTTCCTGGGCTAAGAAAACGGGCTTCAAGCCCAAGTTCTCCGGCGAGACCAATGCCAGAAACTCGGGTCAGATAAGCTTGCCGCCCAAGCCCAGAGAGCCCGACACTCAGGTTGATCTCGAAGCGGGTCGGGCTCGGACACTTCCGCCGGCGAACGGTGTGGTCCACCGCGAGAAGGTTCCACCACTTCCACCGTCTAAGGATCAGGTAGCGAAGAAGCGCAAAGACTCTGATGGAGTCCCCAAGAGTTCGGTTCCCAGCACCAATGGCCAGGCTACGGCTGTGCCGGCGGCTGAGCAGCCGTCTCAGCCGCCGCGGAGAACGGCGAGGCACGAGGAAGTAGTGGATGCGTTGCCGCAGACTGTGGATGATGACGGGTTCGTGTCTAGGCATTCGCATATGAAGTATGAGCTCAGAGATTCACCTGGTTTAGGTAAGATATATGCTTATACTTTCTTCCATGAGGTTGAAAATTTTGATGCATTGTTGTGATTTTTGTTTATGGATACTGTAGTTCCCATTGGTGTATACGGTATCCAGCATTACGTTTCGATATTAGGTTCGTTGATTCTCATTCCGCTTGTCTTAGTTCCTGCGATGGGAGGTTCTCAGGTAAATGATTTTCAACTAACTGAATTGGTTTTTTTATTTATTTTTATCTTTTTGGGGGGTGAGGGGTTATGTTTCGTTTTTGTAGCAAATTTGTTGTGTGGATACTGTTTTCTGATGTGTTAGTGGATATAGGAAGAAACTTCTATGGTGGTATCAACTGTGCTCTTTGTGTCGGGAATGACTACACTATTGCATACTACTTTTGGGTCCAGGTTGCCCTTGATTCAGGGCCCTTCTTTTGTTTATCTGGCTCCGGCTTTGGCGATCATCAACTCCCCAGAGTTTCAAGGATTAAATGGAAATGTATGAATTTCTTGCCATTTCTGTATGTTTTAGATAATGTTCATTGTTGTCTATATCATGGTTCCAATTAACCAGAGTTTTTGGTCTTACAATGGTTTTTTCCATTGCTAGTTATTTGTGAGATATCATGGGTTTTGTATATTTTATTATAAGTTTTTTGATGGAATAATTGAAAGTAAGATTGCTGATAAAATTTCTGTATCAATTTACAGAGATTCAGACATATAATGAAGGAGCTGCAGGGGGCTATAATTATTGGATCAGCTTTTCAAACTTTACTTGGATATACTGGACTTATGTCTCTGTTGGTAAGGTAAGATGATTTTCTCTGCTTATTTGTTTGTCTTTTTATTCTTACATGCTTCATTGTTTCATCAAACAGCATTTATTCTTTTGGACTGAGGCAATGTATAATGTAGTACTAACTGCTAAAGGTTGAGGGATTCAAGGAGAATAATCATAGGAGATAATGCAAGAACGATGTGAATGAGAGCAATTAGGAAAAACAAAATTACATAGTGCTTTATAATATTATATGTTGTATACTTTTAAGTCATTTATATATGTTTTTGAAAGGAAATGATATATTTTTCATTCATTATTAAATAAAATTGATTTTTAATAATTATTACCCGTAAGAATTGATAGCTTCCTGTTACCATCTAAAATGAAGATTAAGAAGCTGAGAGAATTTTTGCATGGACACATGCTATGTTTTAATTAGTTTGATATGGTCACTTCTCATTGTTCCTTCCAAGTCCCAACCCATCATGTGCACAATTCCCCTTGATTTAATTTTGGACAGTACAGAGCTAGTTTCCGTGATTCCATACTATATTGTCTGTGTAATATACAGGAATATTACACAGGAATTTTTTTTCTATTCTTTGATATAGTCAATAACTGTTGGTGAATCATTGTCTAGAATGAGGAATTATATGGGTTATATAGAAAAATTGTGAGAGATTAATTACAAATGAAACCGGCTATATGTGGTAGCAGTCAGGAGGGGGTGTTGTTTGGAACCCCCCCCCCCCCCCCCCCCCCCCCCCCCCCCCTCTCCCTTGGCCTCCTCTTTGAGTGGCTTCCACTGCACGCCCACCTAAAGATTCTTCCAAACACAGTTAGTAGTCCCCCTTCCCCTCCACCTGCTACATCTAGTATTCAGATTGCATTCAAAATTTCAAATGGATATCATATGCCAATATTAGTCAGATTGTTGTGAGGTTCAAAACCATTTCATAGGTGTCAAATTAATGGAGTTACAGCAACTTTTTGTAATGAAATAAGCTGTATTTCTCACCGATTTTGGCAAGTGTCTTGAATAACTCTTGCTTGGGCTAGCTGTGATAAGTGTGTCTAATGGTACCATGTCAGAGGATGAGATCATTTTTATGAGGTTCACTGGGTGTTTTCTCTTGGGGATTGTGGTATTCCTCATGGTTTAACCACTTTAGTGTCTGAGTTGCCTGAAATAAAAAAATTATGTTTCATATCTAATTTTTCAGGTTGATCAATCCCGTGGTTGTATCCCCGACTATTGCTGCAGTTGGACTTTCATTTTACAGTTATGGTTTTCCACTAGTTGGTACATGTCTTGAGATCGGTGCAGTACAGATATTAGTGGTTATTATTTTTTCCCTTGTAAGTTTGTTGAATTCAAGTTCTGTGTCTATGGTATTGATCATTGCACTGTGCTAACATACTTAATCTAGTCTTTCTTGCTTTCTGCAGTATCTTCGTAAGATATCTGTTCTTGGACATCGCATATTTCTAGTATATGCGGTAAGTTTAATGTTATACTTCTTATTTACTCTTCGGTAGTGAACGTAAAATTCTGTGATGTAGCAAATGATATCTGAAGTGTGATGTTTTTTTTCTTCACCTAACTACCAGGTTCCTTTGGGTTTGGCAATTACTTGGGCATTTGCTTTCTTGCTGACTGAAGCTGGAGCCTACAGCTACAAAGGGTGTGACTTAAACATACCTGCCTCAAATATGGTTTCAGAGCACTGTAGAAAGCATGTTTCAAGGATGAAGCATTGTCGAGTTGATACTTCTCATGCATTAAAATCATCCCCGTGGTTTAGATTTCCTTATCCACTGCAATGGGGTACTCCTGTCTTCCACTGGAAAACGGCTCTTGTGATGTGCGTGGTTTCCTTAATCTCATCCGTGGATTCGGTTAGCTTCTTGTCTTTTTCTATTTTGTTTCCTGGACTGTATTTGTATTGACTCTGAATATGTTGATAATTTAGCTTGATTGTATTTAGTAAAACAAAGTGACCATCTTCTGGGTCTCTTACCATCTTTATAATGTCCTAGCAATATTATATATGAAAAGCTGTTCTCTTTCTTACATATGATAAAAGCTTTAATTAAAATTATGGTTTGGACCTAACAAAATTATATATGTTTCATAAATGATGGCTTGCATGCTGGACAGCTGGAGTGAGAAACTTGAATATGATATTCACTTCAATACTAATGTCACTTCATTTTAACTGCAACCTTTGACATCAAAGGGTAAAAATAGGTAAAGAGACTGAACATAGGCATATAGTTTATCAGATCCAAAGTTAAAAATAATAGTTGCCAACTTGTCTTATTGTTTTCATTTCACCTAATCAAATTAAATTTTTTCCATTTTCTGTTTTCATTTTAAGCGGATACCAACTGTAAGGAAGAGTAATATAGTATGGGTTCTTTCTGAGGTTAGGAAATCAGTGCATCAATGACACTTGTAATCACTATGCTATATCAAAATTGAAATTATATTTCTTTGGACCTTTCTCTAAATGCAGGATTATCTAATCACTGTACTCTGTTGTTAATAGGCCTATGGGTCAAGATAATAGCAGGCCCATAAGAGAACCCACAACAAACAAACCCACATATGGATTATGTGAGGAAGAGAAGTGGGGCCCAAGGGAATCATCATGAGAGAGTTGAGGTGGCTGGTCGTTAGGAAATGCTTGCCCAGCTTTCTGTTAAATATAGGTGCAGGGGGTGAGTGCTGAGAGACCGTTGTATTGAGTATTATTTTGTTATTTTGGGAATTAGTAGCTTGTTGCCCTGGATAGGAGGTTCTGGTTGTGTTGTCTTTCTGCCATTGTAACCCAAGGAAATTCCTTTCTATTAGGGGGACCTTCTCTTTAAATTTGTAAATAATACCTTACGAGTTTACATTTTCACTTTTGAATCCATCAATTGTGTTGTTGATATTCATTTGTTTTAAACTTTGAAGGTTGGCTCGTATCATGCATCTTCATTATTGGTAGCATCCAGACCTCCAACTCCCGGAGTTCTTAGTCGAGGAATTGGTTTGGAAGGTCTTTCTAGTGTCTTAGCTGGTCTCTGGGGAACGGGAACTGGGTCTACAACTTTAACAGAAAATGTTCACACACTTGCGGTGACTAAAATGGGAAGCCGCAGAGCAGTTCAATTGGGTGCATGCTTTCTGATAGTATTGTCTCTCGTGGGTAAGTGTTTATTAGCTTTCTGTTCTTGCATCTACCTTCATCAGTATATCTTATGATTAATATCCATTGAACCGAAGTACATTTGTTATGAGACATTGGAGATGAAAACCATTTGTGTAATAATATGCCCTGGTTTTACTCTTTTAGAAGAATTAACAAAGCATATGGTGTTTCTAAGCATCATCTCTGTAACTGGGTCTTTCTGAAGAATGAGAGGCAGTAGAGTAAATTCTTTTGATCAATCTCATTGTAGCATTCCAGCGAATTCTTAGTTTTAATTATTGTCCATAGAGATCCCCTAATCCTAAACTTTAATGGTTACTGCAATTTGTACTCATATCAGGTTTTGGGAGGGTATTTGGGTGGGGCATGTTCGGTTTTTAGAGGCTTTCCCATGTCTTTATTGCATTTCTTCGAAAATAGAAATTCAATAATTTTTTTTTTTCTTTTTTAAATTTCAAGGATGTATTCATAGAATTTTGACTTCAGAAATTGAATGGTAGAGAAAGTAGAGTCAATCCCTTCTGCTTTAGGGCATGTTCTTTTCATGCTGTGCTCATGGCTGTTTTATGGTAGTTTCCATCTCCAATAAGATTTGGTGACATTGCACTCTTGAGCTTCTCTGTCTTCTGGGTTATTTTATTTATTTTTATTTGGAGGATGCATTTTCCTCCCTCCGAATAGTACGTCATTACTTCATATTTCTTTTGTCTAATGATATTTGTTTACCAAAAAAACTCCATTATTGTGTTTTGTTTGATACTTGTTGGACACGGAAACAGCTGCTATTTGAAGTGTATGTGCTTCTTAGATTGTTACCGCTAGTTGTTTCAATTTGATTTATCTATCTTTCATGGCAAACTTAAATAACTGCGTGCTATTAGCTTTTTTATTGTAATGCCTTAACGCAATATAGTTGTTATGATTGCATAAAATTTCATCCCAAGGCAGATAGTGTCTATGATGGAAGTGGTATGCTAATTAACAGATATACTCTACCAGTTTCCCTATCAATTTCTTTGGCATGTAAAAGTTGTTATAGGTTAGCAAGTTTATCATCAAACTGCATGGAACAAATAAGGTGTTGATTTCTTCTCCTGATTGTTTCTGTTTTTGGAACTTGATGAATCATTGGATAATTAGATATGCAATTTGTTCCTAAATTGTAGATTGCTGGCTTCTTTTGTGATGCTCATTTTTATTTTTTATTCCATCATCTTAGAAATGTTTTTATTACATATATAACATGCTTAATTTTATTTATACTGTATAATAGGTAAGGTTGGAGGTTTTGTTGCTTCAATTCCTGAAGTCATTGTTGCTGGTCTACTCTGCTTTATGTGGGCAATGCTTACGGCATTGGGCTTGTCAAATCTACGCTATAGTGAGGCTGGAAGCTCTCGCAATATCATCATAGTTGGGTTATCATTGTTTTTCTCTCTTTCCATACCTGCCTACTTTCAACAATACGGCATCTCCCCAAATTCCAATTTGTCAGTGCCAAGTTATTTTCAGCCCTACATCGTGGCTTCTCATGGGCCTTTCCGAAGCAAATATGGAGGGGTATGCTTTCGCATCACCCATTTACTATTGTGAACTTTAGCTTGGTTTTGATGCCGTCAAATTCTATAATTGAACTTCGTTACTTACTATAAGACATACAGAAAGATAATTTTTTTTTTTTAAAAAAAAAAAGCCCATTTTCATTTGTTACAGTGGGTGTGGCTATGACATAGCATATCTATGTCCATTATTTTGTAAAAGTAAATAGAAACTACCCTCATATTCAATAGTGACATAGGTAGTTGCTTGAATACGTATGCTTTAAGATCAATTGTCTACTATTTGGTTTTTATTAGTATTTCTGCCTGTATGTGCTGCATCTTTTTCGACAGAATCCTGTATTTCGTTTCATAATTGCTAACTAGCAACTGCTGCATAGTGATTGTGTTTAATAGATATATTTAAATAACTAACACACACACACACACACACACACACACACACACACACACATATATATATATACATATTTCACATAATGAATTCATGATGGAGAGTCTTTTTTACTCATGTGATTCCCTTATAATTTTTAGCACTTGAATGCTGGTTAGAAATTACTGTAGTCCTTCCTTAGTACCACTTCTAAGAGAGAATTTTTTGTAATGTTGGTTGAGATGTCAGGTTTTTCTAAAACATCACTTGTGAATCTGTTCCTTTCGCAGTTGAACTATGTGCTGAACACCATTTTTTCACTACACATGGTGATAGCTTTTCTCGTCGCTGTTATCCTGGATACTACTGTACCTGGAGGTAAGCAGGAACGGGGGGTATACATTTGGTCGGAACCTGAGGTTGCTAGAAGGGAGCCTGCTGTTACTAATGACTATGAATTGCCCTTCAGAGTTGGTCGGATTTTCAGATGGGTGAAGTGGGTTGGCCTGTGAAAGACTATGAGTTTTGTCGGCTGACTATTTTCAGTCCGCGTCTAGAATCACGTGTTGTTTTGCTCAATGATGGATAGTATAGTTGATCATGTTACAGATTTAATTTGTGTACATTGAGGTTCTGGAGGGGTCTATTTGTGTTAAAATTTATTAGATTAGCCATGTATCTAGTTTTGATTCATTGAAAATCTCCAGGTGGAGTTTTTTTCCCTTGCTTCAAGGGTGGGCTTTGAGAAATCATACTGGTTATGTATATATACACATTATTATACCTGCTCAATCGGGACTGGAATCATTTTGTTTAGTATATTCATTCCGATCCACCTATTATCTTTGTCTTAGCAATCCTTGTCAACCATTTAACGGAGCTTGTACAATTTTCTGAAAGCCACAATCACAATTGATGGGTAGCCCTGTGGGGATTGCTCAAAGCTCTACTCACATGGAAGAGCAAGCTCCAAGTGATATGCAAAACCGATTTTACCCAAGTTCTTGAGGAATGACAACCCTTCATTCCGAAAAGAGCCATCAAAATTTATGTAGCATTTTACATGATTGAAGGAATTTGATACCAATACTTAAACTTCTTAGATACCTGAGGATATGTACGACCAAATGCCTGAAAATGACTTTTTAACTTCACCGTAGTAAAAAAAGGTAAAATGGTTGCGGTTTGTCACTTGATTGATTTTATACTTGATGGCTTTTTGCGGATCCCATATTCGTTGCATAGGTTTATAAAGTCTTGAATACTCTCATCTTTTAAGCTAGCTTTTGGGGTGGTGATCTCATGGATTCTTATCATTTGGTGCTTTCATTGAGAGTTGAGGCCACAGAAAAAGTTACCTATAGGCTAGATTAAGGTCCCTTTAGACACTGAATACTAATAGGTGGGCTGCCGTCGACCGTGGACATCAGTCTTAAAAGTTGGTGGCAATTGGGTTTTATAAAACCTTGAACACTTTCATCATTTGAATTAACTTTTGGGATGATAATCCTATGGATCCCTATCAATTGGATTTTCTTGTATATATCTAAAACCCATAATGGATTGATACCTACAAAGATTAGGCATTCATACACTTGACACAATAAGAATACCGATATTACTATATAACAGAATTTAAATTGTTTTGTTAGCATTTGAAGTGTAAATTACGTGTGTTCCGGATGGCCCATATCTGAGTGGCCCAATGACTTAGGCCCAAGCCCCCCTTACTCTTTCCACGTCAGCCTTACTGACCAGTCTCTACCAATCCGCACCCCTCCCTGTCTACTGGGCGACTGCACCCCTCCAGATGAGACACCAAAATGTCTCATCTTGGGATATCAACCCAGCAGGAGATCGCCCCAGATACCATAAATAATAACTTTCTATCTGTAGAGGCAGCATCAGACGCTGCCACCTCCGATGCAAAAGCTGCCCCACTGCAGCTGCAACAGTGTCAGCCACCCTTGGCACTCCCTAAGGAGGGTTGACCTCCCTTCACCTACCTGCTCCAGGGTGATACTCCATCCTCTTATAAATACCCCCTCAAGACAAGAGGGAAGGCATCTTATGTATCGGTACCCTGTTAGTTTACGAGCCCAGAACCTTATACATCTCCCCCCATTTATCTGATAGTATAATTCATACTTGGGATAGTACTGTCTAGCTTGGTCTCTACCTGTGCTAGTGGTGCAACCCATACAGTGATCTTCATTCCTAAAGGAAACATATTGGGCTTGTAGATCCCAATGGTACATTGGCTCCATCTGTGGGAAACTATAAACTCAATTCTCACTCTCTTTCCAAAGATCTACAGAAGGCAAAATCTTAGTTCCTGAGCGAAGCATGCGGTCACTACGAGGAGAACACACCAACCCAGAGGGTCAGGCTCGAACAGTGCACTCCAGTTCCTCACCTTCTGTACAATCAGCCCCAACACCGCATGCAGTTGCTATGACCCTTCCACCAATATTGCAATCTGTTGGCGCACCGTTACCTATGGCCGATAACATTAACCATCATGCAGGAAACGAGATGCACAGAGAAGCCCTTAACCTGCGGCGAGTGGCACCGATAGACCGTCACGTCGCCATTCGAGAAGTTCAAGAAGAAAGCTCGGCTCCAGCCCCTCCTCCCCCATCGGAAGTCCATTACGGTATGACCATACCAGTTACAGCCCCTCAAAGAGTCCCACCTACAATCTACCCACAACCACTTCGAAGCCAACCGGTCGTTGTTTACATTGACCAGGGAATACCAATAGCCACTAGATACCCTCCAGGACCTCACATCCACATAGGCAGGGGCCCTTACCCCGTGGTGCCCATAACCCCCGAAATTCCATTTCATGGATACACGGTACCACCACATAACGCTACTGTCGCCCAACCTCAAGGGTCATATATGATCCTAGCACCACCACCACCACCACCCCCACTTGGCGTGCCACATGCTCTAGCACCTTCGTACTCAGTGCATCATCAACCGGAAGCACAGATAGCACCCCGCCCACCCCCAGAAGCACATGTTCAGAACCTGAACACACGAACTACACCTGTTAACCCCTCTGGACGCAACAAACCCCTGATTGATAGTCTTCGCCTCACTCCTATACCTTTAGGTTTCAAAGGCCCAACTAACATGACCACCTATGTTGGCGACACCGACCCTTTTGAGTGAATCCAAAAATTTGAAGCAGCAATGACTTTTCATGGTGAGACGGACCTCCTCATGTGCAGAACTTTTCCAACACTCCTTGGCGGGCGAGCGTTGGCCTGGTACACCAGTCTACCAACATGAAGTATCTCATCTTGGGATGACTTAGCAAACAAGTTTCAACTAAAGGAGAGTTAGCAAAAATAACAACACTCATGCAAGAATTCATGTGTTATGCATGTGATGTTAACTAACTCTAGTAACTGAATAACAAAGTAACTAAAAATTTTTATTGGTTGGAGCTAGCTGGTAGCTTGCTGTTACTCTCATTCACGTACGTTTATTCAATTGAATTGCATGCTTTATTTGTTAATGCTATGTGTAGACTATATGGTTTTGATATCAGATTCTGTGATGTCATCGTCACATAATACAGTAATTAAAAATGTCTAGTCCAAGTGATTTAATTCTCAAGTATGTGGATAAGGATATGAATGGGAGAAAATCTTCCCTACAACCACTGTAGGTATATCTATACTAAAACGAAAAATTTTTTTGGGACTTAAAAGAAATTAAAAAAAAATACGGGTTAAAATAAAATAAAATAAAATCATTTTTCAGTAAAAGGAAGTACCGAATTAAAATTCGGTACTTCCGTTGTATTAAAGAAATTTTCCTGAATGGATCAGGTTTTCTATCATGGATATATAGTCTAACCTGACTTATTTACTAAATAAGATTTGACCTAATATAAAATCTCTTTAAAAATTAGGTCATGGGCCAATGTGTATTCAAAATATGGGAATAAGGGTGTTGGGAGAAAGCAAAGAAAATTATTTTCATACAAAAGAAACATGGTAGTGGAATGTGCAGGAGGTAATTAAACAGAAGAATGGATGCTTTTGATCTTTGCAAAAGTTTAGATTGACGAGAAAAAATGCAAAGAAAGCAGTGCGAGAAGCTTGAGGCAAGGTTTTCGTCGATTTGAATAAAAATATTGGGAGCAAGGATGGTGAAAAAGGAATATATAAACTTGCAAAAATGAGAGATAAGAAAAATAAAGACCTCACCCAAGTTATATGCTTCAAGGCTGAAAATCAAAAACTTTTGGTAAGAGATGAAGATGTAATGAAAGATGGATAAACTACTTTAACAAACTGTTTAATGGGGATGGTGATAAAAGCGAGGTGGACTTGGAGGACACTTATGATGATTTGAATAGAAGATTTTTACGCATAATCAATACACATGAATTTAAGGAGGCTTTAAAGACGATGAAAACTAATAAAGCCTTGGGACCCGATGGTGTCCTTATTGAAGAGTGGAAAGGCCTGAGGGATGTGACAATAAAATGGTTTACCAATCTTTTTAATAAGATTCTTCAGACAAATAAGATGCCTAATGCAAGGAGAAAAAGTATGCTTGTGCCTATTTACAAAAACAGGGGAGATATTCAAAGTTGTTCTAACTATAGAGGCATTAAGCTAATAAGTTATACTATGAAATTGTGCGAGAGAGTTATTGAACATCGCTTGAGGAAAGAGACCAAGGTTTCTGTAAATCAATTTGGGTTTATGTCAGGAAGATGTACCATGGAAGCCATTTTCCTAATGCGATAATTAATGGAAAGATATCGAGAAAAGAAAAAGGACTTATATATGATGTTCATAGATCTTGAAAAAACATACGACAGGGTCCCAAGAAAAGTTTTATGGTGGGTTCTTGAGAAGAAAAAAGTACAATCAAAGTATGCAAAGACAATCATGGATATGTATGATGAGGCTACAACATGTGTGAAAGCTTGTAATGAAACATCAAGTTATTTTCCTATCACGATAGGTGTACACCAAGGTTTGACTCTAAGTCCTTCTCTTTTTGCCTTAGTTATGGATGAACTAACAAAAAATATCCAAGAGGAAGTGCCATAGTGTATGCTTTTTGCATATGTTATTGTGCTTATTGATGAGACCAAAGACAGAGTTAATAGAAAAATTGAACTTTGGAGAGGCACGTAGAGTCTGAAGGATTCACGTTAAGTCGGAGCAAGACTGAATATATGAAGTGTGAGTTTTCTCTGGTAAGAGATATAGACCAAGATCCTGTGCATCTACTTGGTCAAGAGGTACCTAAGAAAGAGACTTTTAGATACCTAGGATCCATTCTGCAAAAAGAAAGAGAGATTGATGAGGATGTAACTCATAGAATTAGAGCAGGGTGGATGAAATGACGTAGTGCTTCTGGGTTTTTGTGTGACCACAAAATTCCCCTTAAGCTAAAAATAAAATTCTATAGAACAACAGTAAGGCTTGCAATTTATATGGAGCTGAATGTTGGCCAGCACATAGGCAATATGAACATAAAATGAGAGTAGCAAATATGAAGATGTTAAGGTGGATGTGTGGTTATACGAGGATGGATAAGATAAGAAACGAAGATATTCGACGTAAGGTAGGAGTACTACTGGTGGATGAAAATATAAGAGAACATAGATTAAGGTAGTTTGGGCAGGTAATGAGAAGGCCCTTAGATGCTCCCGTAAGAACAAAAATTTGTTACCAAGAGCTTGACACAAAGAAAGGTAGAGGTAGACGAAACTTACTTGTGGGAAGGTAATAAAACAAGACTTAATGGAGTGGAATATAGTTTGGCGGACGGTGTGCCTTAGGATGGAATGGAGAAAAGCTATTAACATGGTGGAAAGTTAGACCCGTTGTTATTCTTATATTCTAGATGGTCCCTTTTTAATCTGTTTCCTCTTCATCTCCCCCTTCTTCTTATTTTCCCCTTCTTTTCCTTTGTCTTTTTTTCCCTTCCCCATCTTCTTCTTCTTCTTCTTCTTCCTTTTTTTAGCACCCCTTATATATATATATATATATATATATATATATATATATATATATTCTTCTTATTATTATTAGTATTATTATTATTTATTTATTTATGTTTATTTTACCCCTTCGTACATTTCATTTAGATTCATCTACCGCCAACCCCAATTAGTTTGAGATAAATGTGTTGTTGATATTGATGTGTAACCTATTTTGCAAAGTTTTATCTGTGAGATTCCAAGCGGACATATATTTTAAATAATTATTTTTATTAATATTTACACATGATATCATTAATTGAATAAATTCCTTCCATATAGAATGATGGCCCTATTTGTAGTTTTTAATTTATACATAATAATATTGATTGAATAAAATTTAGGGGTTCAGTTTACAAATTGTAATGCATGCTTAGTTGCTTACCCTTGAAATATGAGGATTGCCAAGGTTATAAACTAGCCAACATTTATTTTTCATATGTAATTTATTGCGATTAAAATTTGCACATTCACTGCACATATAATTTATTTTCCATATGCAGTTAACATTTAATTGTTTAATAATTTCAGGGTATAAACTTTTGTTATAGAATAGTGGGATTATGAAGTTACACTGTCATAGGAGGGAAATAAAATTTTAAATAATCTTAACCAATGTTATTAAAATCGGCTCAGTTATTGACTTGGTCGAGATACCGGGTCACTAGGTCACTGGTTGAATTAGTGGGTTATTGGTTAAACCGCATGACCCGATGATTATATGTAAATTTATATTAAAAAAATTATAAATATACTCAAATATATGGAAAAAATAATATATTTTCTTAATATTTTAATATAAAAAATAATAACACTACAAGAAATATGATTATTTGTGACAAAAATTTAGTGATGAATATACAATTGGTCACTAATAATATATTATCTGTGACCAAATTTTATTTTGTCACTATAATTATTTTTAATTATGACAAAATGATAAATTGTCACTATAATTTCATTAATAGTGACAAATATATATTTATCACAAATAATTCGTCACTAATAATATATTATTTGTTGCCAAATTTTATTTTGTCACTATAATTTTTTTTAATTGTGACAAAATGATAATTTGTAACTAAAATTTCATTAATAGTGACAAATATATATTTATCACAAATAATTCGTCACTAATAAAAATTATTAATTAAAACACTATTTTCACATAATCATATCGTCATTGATATAAAATTTTAAAGATGCAAAAAAAAAGTAATAGTAACAAAATTGTAAGTTATTATTAATTCTATATCATAATATTGACAATTATAAAACTTATCAATCATTTTTTGTTATTAGTGACAACTCACAAATAATTCATCATTAATGATTTGAAACATTTATATCTAAAATTATTCGTCACAAATATTTAATATCAATATATTGATAATGGTGAAAATTTTCTCACTACTATTATAAAAAACTATTAGGGACAAAAACTAAACTTTGTCATTAATATTATATTATACTATATGAAGACTTCTTATTCCCTCGTAATAGAGAAATCCTTAACAAAACCAAAAAAATTATACTAAAAACTAGAGATATATGTTAGTCTATAGATATTTTGTTCGTAACAGATATACTCCCTCACACATCCCAATACCAATTTTAAAAAGTTCTCACTTATAAAATAAAAATAAAAATCTCCTAATGGTTTCAAATTGCTAATTTCACGCCACGAAATACTAACCAACAGTTATGGCTTATGGCACGTTCTACGAAAACAATATTCAAGTGAAAAGAAATTCAAGTAAGTGATGCACGTTTCATAATTCAACTAACAGTGAATCATTTAAATTAAAAAAAAATAGTGATTGAAACGTAAAACACGGAAATCAAGCTACATGAATATCTTGTGATTTCAAGTAACTTCAACTACATAGCATAATAGTAAATCCACGGTCACTTCTAGCATATTCTACAAAAAAACAAAGAATGTCAATTCTCAAAAAATTTCATCAGCGTGTCTTTTGGTTGGGTTCTTAAACAAGATGTCAAAAAGAGAGCAAGCTTCTTGATTGAAGATTTGAAATAATATCTGTTAGAGATTTTGAATAGTCTTTGCTGGATTAAAGGTAAGTTTTTTTACACCTTCTGCCTCTAATGGTGTAAGTTTTTTTCAGTTTAAAAAAATCTGAAATATAATATATGG